ATCTACGAGTTCATCACTTTTTGGCGCTTTTTCGCAAAAAAGCAAACTTTTAAAGCACTTTTTGGACTAGAATTCATGGCGCGCATTTGCAAAAATTTGAATTAACGACCCAGTTTTGCATGCCAAAAGGCGCGTGGACCCGTTTGACGCGCAAATTTTGAGGGTCCTTATCGAACCGGCTCGTCTTTGCGCATGGTGGGCCTACACGCGGCACGGTATGTTATGCAAAATTACAGCCCAGTAGCTTAGCTGCAGCTTCCTCTATGAATTTCGTGACAGACAGATTTTCACACAGACACACAAAAAAAACAGACGGCCTTAGCGCATTATTATAGTAGATTCCGACATATGACAATGAGTGTATTGAGTGAGCGCCCCCACCATGTGACCTTATGCCTAAGGTCACATGGTGGGGGCGAATTCAAATTCCGCAAAAACCTGTGTCGCGACGTCGCAATGCGCGCAGCGGTAAGTAGTCCTTCCTGATCAGTGACCTCGTTTATGGTTGATATACGGCACTAGCCCTGTACACATCATTAACCCCACTTCCCTAGTCGAGGGCCGTGTCACTGCAACACCGGAGAGCCCTCTGTATAGCCCAAGATTTGGGTGAGGCGTAGCCGTAAAATGGCGACTCTGAGCAGTTCACCAAAGGTGGAACTCCATATGGTAGGTGGTCCTCGTTGACTCCAATTGGTGTAACCCAGTGCTAAAAAAATCTAAAAAAAATTAATCGTTCTTGTCATTTGGTAATCCAAATGACAAAAACGATTAATTTATTTTTTAAATTAGTGGCTTATCTGGGTCCGTTCTGCCGTCAGAATTTTATTATTTTTGATTTCCTTGTTTGTTTTCGTTCATTGTAGCAAAAGTGAACTTTCTTTTTGGATCCACTAGTCTCAAAGCTGGATTTCGCCATCGTAACTTCAATTAATAAATGATACTCCCAACTCAAGCTTGTTATTGAATGAATCATTCATAATCACTACCGAAGGGGTTATAATTTACCATTGCGTTACCTCCGCTTCGCGGAGGTTCGCGCTGGCTCCCCATCCGTATGCCAGGGGCCGGCACAGATCGTCTAGAAGCAGGCTAGACTTCGTTTTTAGAGCAAAAAGCAAAGGAAATATCGTTCTTGACGAATCGGTGACGAACATCATGAATAAACGCCATTTAGTCGAACACAAGTTTTTCGGACAGGTCATCACACGACTGACATGCTCTATCGTGTATGACGGAAAGTGCGCGCGATTTGAAAGCAAGGCTAAAACAAACAAATTACTTGTTTACGGGCACACAGAATCATATGACACCAAAATTGAACTGTATACATAAAAAAATTATCTGTAGAAGAATTATGCAAATAGATTCAAAACTTATGAAGTTACTTTTTCCAAAAAATTAGTCCGTCTTCAGGGCCGGTAGTAATCTACCTTACCTGGCGGCATCAAAGATGCCGCCAAGTTGGCACACATCGCGGAAAGTTGCCATCTTCGGCGGCAGCTCGCGGAGAAATTCTAGGTTTTAATAATCCTACTCAACCTTAGTACGCAATATCTCGCACATTAATTTTTGACGATACTCACAGCCGCAAAACTGCTACCTCGCGCGCGATCGAACCTAAGTGCACTAACTTCAAGTGCCACCACGTTAACCATTCGACCATTCGGTCAATCATTGACGGTTGCACCAGCAATAGGAGGAACGCAGTGGTAAGTGGCCGCCTGTAAGAGGGATCGATACATTGCGTGAGAGACTTTGACCTGAAAAAACAGCTGATTGATATGAGCGAGAGAGGGGCGAAATCGGTGCAAACGAGATTTAGAAAAGATTTTGAAAAAAGATGGTGTTCTTTATGGTTCTCAGGCATTACTAGATTTTTTCTCTGTAAGAAATTCGTCGTTTCAAAAAAGAAAAACTCATATAATGAGAAAAATGATAGTTTCTTGATGGAAGGTAGAATTTTTCGATTTTTTCGCCCGACGTAAATTGTGTGATATGCCGCACTACCCAAACTTGCAGACGGCGCCAGCAAGGTGCCACCACCTCGACATGGTAGGGGCACGTCAGGATGGTGGCACCTTGATCTCTCAAAAGAACACGCTTTTTTCGTGCTCTCTGACCTGGCGGCATCTCTCAGCGTTGAAATTTTGACGAGATGCCGCCAGGTCAGTTCGCGAAGCTGCCGCCAGCACCTCCTGCCTTCCTCTACAAATCTGTTCAGGGAGGTTTTTAGCACCTTCAGTTGCCAAGTAAGGTTCCCTAAGGTCACTATGACTTCCTCGACCAAAAATACGTGTTGAAAAGGGTAGGGAGGGCACAGGCTTGAGGTCGGAGTTCGCGCCGACTTCACGTAAAGATGACGCCGACCTGACGGCGAAACATGCCGCCAAGTCAGGGGGATTACTACCGGCCCAGACGGTCACCAGATGATCTGAGATTGTCTGGAGCATATGTTTCTGTCACTTCACATAAGTTTTGGATTTTTCTATAATACGGATTCCCCGGCCAAAATCTATCTCTAAGCATAAAGACATTTTCATATCATTGCCTTTCCTTTGTTTTTTTTGCCTTGATTTCTTCATAAATTGCTTTGTTGAATATCGCGCTTCAATACCAAAGTCTTGTGCATAAGTAGTATTCAGCTCCAACTTGGTCTTTCACACTTATAAAACGTTTTTTTTCTTTCAAACTAGTGAATCTTTCCTATATTCGTCTTCTCCTGACTAGGTAGGTCTAAGAGGACTTCGTAGAGCTTCCGAAATTCAGGTGAGACTTCGTTTCCAAAATCCCGAAAAACCGACTCGTGCCGGGCCCTGTTCCTTCTTCCCCCTCCCCTCACATCAATGGCTTTGCTGCAGAGTAGTGCAGAAGCTCGGTGAAGAGAACCCTCCCCTCGCGGGCGTACGCCATAAGAGGCATCAACACCCCATACATCACATGATCGGTTCCCAGATTCGTGTGAAGGTGTATTGCAGACTTTTCCTGATAACACGGATAAACTTGTGAAACCTCCACGTTATTGCATTGCTTTTCGTAGTTCTCGCTAGCAAAAACCGCTACGCTATGAGTTGACAAGACTCCATCTCCACACGAATCTGAAAGCCGATGATGCATCTTGAGAGCACATGAAGGGGAAATCCTAATCTATGAAGTCACAACGTCAGTCGTCAGTCGAAGTATGTGTATTCGACACAGCTGCTAGACTTTGAATCCTGACTACTCTACAAAATTTTTGAAGTCTTAACCTCACACATCTTCTTGCGCAAGATTTGTGGGAGATGAAATGTTAGCTGCCATTTAGCAACCAAAGATGGCTTTTGTTTTTTGAATTTCTGGTTCTTAACGATGAACTCTCAAACCAAAGTGCTTATTCCACTATTTGGTATAGCAATACTTGTGCAATGCGATAGTTATCGGACAGATATCTGTCATGACGTGGTGTCCTTACTCGATGTGAGGATTACGTCATGAGTTGGCAGTCATGAGTTTTACACTAGATAAGCTTTACAGCCCGATAGGCGTTCAGAAAGCGTGCATCCACCGCTGTTCTTTTTGCTCCAACTACTTTACAAACCAATTCCATTCAACTGATTTCTACAATTTCTGTTTCAGTAGCTGAACCTAAGGTATGTCGATTCGAACATACCTCTTAGCTGCCAAAAGATGATATTGTAACAAGTACGGCAAATCTTGAAACATTTGTCATCTACTAATCACCACATAAAAACTCGCTTTTTCGTGTAAACGTATTAACAGTGACGCTAAAATGCTCAAATGAACAAATGCACAAATGGCTCCCAATAGCAACTCCTTTGAAGGCCATGTTTTGGAATAGTTTGGTAGTTTCTTTCTTTTCACCCTTGAAAAGCCATCAGTTATTCTAGTCTAATCGTTCTCCTCCACTTGTCAACCACTCCAATGATGATCTTTTCCAAGCAACAAACAATTGTTGACTTGCAACTCTGCTTTCAGCGCAATCACAAATGTTTAGAATAAACAATGAGCCATATTAGGCAGGGCTGGGCTTAGGAGTTTCAGAATAAACGGCAAATGCTACGCCAAAAGAACAGTGGGATTTTTACTAGAGAGAAGTTACTTCTTTCGCATTTCTTAGTTATGCCTCACTTCGACTGTCTCCGTCCATTCGGCCTCCAGTTAAGGGCCATTATGCCGAAGTATGCTTACTAATTGTTTTCCGTACAGCTTTCGCAATAATGAAGCTAGAGAAAACCAACTCAATTGTAATGCTAGTTGACGACACGATTCTCATTTCTAGAGCCAGAACAGTGATTTAGCAGCACACAGTTTTTATAATGTAGCTTAATGTAAAATAATGCAGGATGATATACAAAATTTACTGCGTAACAATTGTAAGCAAACGTTATGACTGAACGCTTCCATTCCCACACCTCCTCTGCTTTTCGAGTGCACCTCTCATTCGTGCACATTACCAATTCAAATTATTTCCGAAAACAAAACAAATTTTCATCATTATCGCGTTGAATGTAACTCATGTAAAGCGCACAATAGCAACGCGCAGTATGAAATTAGATAGTTAAGTGTACTATGAAAAGAATGTACAAGGAGATTTAGACGTGATCGCTGTACCTAGTGCCAAAAATTTATTATAATTATTGACAAACGATTAGCAGGGTTATCCTTTTAATGTTAAGTCGATACTGTACGTATAAGTACTCCCGCTGCACAAACAGAATGACTGTCTCAAGATTCCATCATCATTCGCCGGGCTTTCGGCTGAGAGTGCAGCGACGTAAACGCAGTGAACATTGGTTCTCGCAACTGAAATTTCAAAACTAGTTTTTAATTCACTCAAATGCAACGTCCACTTTGTGCAAAGCTTTTAAAAAGGTCAGCAAGTGAACGATAGTGAAAAAAGTGATCGCACAGGGGTATTTCAAAGGTATCAATCAAGGAGCATAGTCGGCTACTTTTCTGTGATTTCAAAAGAAATCATAACGCATACTTTTTATTCAGAAATGAAGGTGGTGATTTTCATCATTGTTGGCATAGCACCGACGTGTATGGCGAGGAAATCCTGCGACGATGTATGTGTAGATATTCCTGAGGAACACATTTGTGGCTATGATCTGAGTAGGTTAATAAGCTTTATTTGCGTCAGGAAAAGCGGTTTTTGACTTTCCAAAAGAAATGAAGAGTTTGAAATCTCATTGGGTATATAGATGATCTATAAGTGACACAAACCTACTTTCCTGTTGATGAATTGGTTAACAATTATACTTTAGCTACTGCTGTACAAGACGCCAGGTAGTAGCAATATTAGAGTCTCACCGCTTACACTCAAAAGATTCGATGATCAAATCGGATCAAATTGATGGAAGCATTATCACATTATAGGTGTAAGCGGTGAGAACATTATCATATCCATCTAACAAGAATACTAGCTTCATGGGGAAAACTGTATAGCTTCATCGGAAAAACTTTATGAACCTTGCCTTCAGTTGCCATTGGTTATATTCGAAAAGTCGATTATTTTCGTCCCGCTTACACACTCGAAGGAACTTATATTAGAGTAAGCTTAGACCAACATCGCCTTTTCAAGTTTTCAGCCTGAAAGTTTTTAGAACCGTTGTTTGATTCAAGAAAGAAGGCTTCTGTACACAAAAACTCCTTGCGGAACAACTTCCATCAGCTCCGACCAACAATATGTAGTAAAGGGTACAGGCAAAACTCCTGCAACAAATTGTCCTCTCACAGTTTATTTATTTAGGTACGTTCCGCAACGAAACATACAAGCTAGGAAGAGAAAAGTATAAAGGCTTTATCTTCGAAGCCTGCCTGGCCAAAGATCCTGAGGCTGCAAGACGAAAACTGCTTATAGCAGTCGGTGAAGCTAATTGTACCGCCACCAAAAGAAATCGTCCCACAGATTGCAAGATAAACAGCCGGGAAGTAATATTAAGACCACAGCGCAACAAAAACAAAACTAATAGCACGTCTCAAGGACCAGGAAGAAATAGCACATCTCCATCTGCACTCCCATACCAAGAAATCAAAAAATCTTTGTTTGAAATCCTGTCACAAGTCACAAGCTTGCTCCACTTTGTAGCCAATGCTCAAATATCAACAGGAATTATCACGTCTACATCTGGAGGAAACGGAACGCTCATACATCAAGAGATCCAAAAATCTGTATATAACATACTGGCAGAAGTCACAAACTTGGTCCGCTTGGTAACTGGTAATGTTACCTCGGTAGCAAGGCCAGCAAGGCCTGAGTGACATTGTCAGCCAAATTCTCGTCCACAATAATCATTTCCAACCTCGCAAACATAACAGATGGAAGTTTTGACATCCTCCTCTCTCATCCGCTTTGTCGCCAGTGATTTCTGGATAAGTGTTTTTCTTGCTGTTTTTTTTCTAAGCAGAATTGTTTATGTGATTGCGGTGTGGAACACATAGCAACTGTGCCTTGAAGTGAATCTCAGGATATTGCTAATTCATTGTTCTCTAAGCCCATTTGTAATCTTGCAATTGAAACTTATTTTCAAAAGTTTTTGTTATTTTCATGCTTTATTTTAAAGTTCAATAAAAACTTTTATTCCGGAAGTTTGTGCATGTACAATTTATGACTATGAAGTTCGCTTTTAAACAGCAGTCCGCTAGTGGTGTCGGTAGGTGCCAACTTCGGAATGCTGGTCCTTTTACACAACTCATGTTCTCTGAGAACAAGTAGTCTGAGCTGGTCTTTAATGGTGACAATTAATCTTCTAGACAGGCAACGGAAGCGTTAGGAAAGCTATGCGAGTGGGAAATTTTTCCTTTTGTCAAGACCTACTATGAGAATAGCCAATAGTCAGGATTTTATGCATCAGAGGAATAGTGCCTTATGTTCAAGTTTTCGGATTTTCGCTGTTTGCAGGTGGCTGTGATCAGAATGCATCATTTTGGAGCACCAGTCGAAAAAGCTTGTAGAAACTTTCCAGTCACCCAGAATCATCTGATTTCACCTGTTCATGAACCTTGACGCACAACTACTGAATCGTCAAATTGCGATACTCAGTTCCTCTACCGCCAACTTTGCAGCAGCATCGTACCAGCTGTCCTTTCGTCTACACCTAATCCCAATTACAATTTTTTGTTTTTTGTTAGGAGTGTTGCGCAATATCCAAGGAAGAGTGATCTTCCAAAAATATCTACCTTGTGTTTAAATTTCCCTACGATTGATCTTTTCGTTAACAAGCAATAAAATATAATAGAATGTGGCGGCTAAATGACTTACAAGGGGTGATTAGCTGTATCGGCGCTTTTGGATAAATCTTTTATCACTTTCTCGTGAATCATGGAAGCTAATTTGAGCTAGCTAGCTAGCTCCCTATAATATTTGCAAAATGCCTCTGAGCAAGTATTGCGGAAGTTTGAGAAATTAACTCTAACGTGCCACCAGTAGAAATATAAAAGAGTCAGTGTGATTGAATGAAGGGAGCGTGTCAATTCTTCATATGCAACATGCTTCCCAAAAGTATGTAAATTCGGCATGATGTGCCATATTCAGGCGGACCAATTTGGATAAGGAAGGGGACGCTTGTGTTCCACTCCCCCTCCCCCTCCCCCAGTTGAATTTTCTCGCTATTTACGAATTCGGATCGTAGATCATCAGAAAGTGGTTTTACGGTAGCCTTGCTGCTCTTTTAGGGCATGGGAATGCAGATCTACTGCTTTTTACATGTAAGCTCTCGTTTTGTTAGAATGCTCTGTTCAATCTGCATTTCCATGCCGTAAAAGAACAACAAGGCTAAAGTAAAACCAATTTTATGAAACTTTTCTCACATTGGTTAGCTTCATCCCCAGAACATCCCACAGTCAAGGACAAAAGACGGTGTCAAAAACATGTGTATTGTTTGCAGAGGAGTTGTGCTACAAAATGCTTATTATTAGGTTGTCCGGAAATTAATGTCCGTTTTGAATTTCATCCGCAACAAGTCATACACTTTTCATTTCTGAAAAGCTTTCAAGGTACCATTCGATAGAGCAAAGCAAGCTCTACAAGATGGCTGTCTTGCTTTAACAACAGCTCTGATCCACCTTGAGTTTCGAGCCAAAAACTAAAAAGATTCAACTACCCGAAAAATCGAGAAAAATCACAACTCAGTTCATAAGAATCCTGCAAAAATTCTAGCTTGCTCACGTAAATACTATCCACATAAGACATACATGTACGCTATTGCCGTATTCTTTCCTCTGTTAGAAGTCGAAAAAACGAAAATGTTCATGCTTTTGCCAAAGGATCCCCACATAAGTAGATGTTTACTACAAATATGTAGAAGTACAAACGTGAATTTTCAGCTCTCTACAAGCTTTAGTTCCCGAGAAATATCAAATACAGCTTTCATTAGTCAAGTGATCCGCACTAAAATTTATATTTCTCGAGAACTAAAGCTTGTAAAAAGATGAAAATCCACGTTTTTACTTCTAAAGATTTGTAGTATACATCTACTTATGTGAGGACGACACAGCATCACTTTTGCAAAAGCATGAAAATTTTCGTTTTTTCGATTTCTAACAGAGAAAAAAATATGGCAATAGCGTACATGTATGTTTTATGTGGTAGTGTTTACGTGAGTAAGTTAGAATTTTTGTAGAATTCTTACGAACTAAATTATGATTTTTCTCGGGCACTTGAATCTTTTTAGTTTTTGGCTCGAAACTCGAGGTGGATCAGAGCTGTTGTTAAAGCAAGATAGCCATCTTGTAGAGCTTGCTTTGCTCTATCGAATGGTACCTTGAAAGCTATTCAGAAATGAAAAGTGTATGACTTGTTGCGGATGAAATTGAAAACGGACATTAATTTCAGACAACCTAATAATAAGCTTTGTAGCTCGAAACCTCCATCAAAAATTGAATTTCCAAGAATCATCCTGTAGGAATATATTGGGAATGCAGGAGGAGCTGCCGGCAGCTCGTCGTCTCCCAAAAAATTTTCTTGATGAAGATGCCACCCCAACTGTATAGAAACCTCCGTCGAAATTTGCGGTTTCAGAAATAATCCTGTAGGAAAATATCTGGAATAGCACGAGGACCTGCTATAAACTTCGGGAGGTCAGTTGCCGGCAACCTGCCGGCAGCTCGTCGAAATCCTTGAGGTGGCCACGGGAAGGTGCCGGCGAGACTTGCCGCCAGGCCGGGATACTACCGGCCCAGATCTCCATTCATGTAAAACTTACACTCCTTCTTAATCCGAGGGAGCCCGATATCGCACGATTCGTAGAATGACAGAGAAATGGGTTGAGATAAAATGAGCTGCGACGTGTAAAATATCTGGGCCTAAAGTCATTTTACGATAGTTTTCTTTCTGAAAAAAAAAGTCGGGCAGACTCAAAAAGTCTACAACAAGGTTATTTTGTTTTCTTTCTGTGAGGCTGACAGTGTGAGTCACATGTTGTGAGTCACACATAGAATTCATGAAGTCAGTCTGTGTATTTCTTCTTCCAAGTGTAAGTGGCTCCTCTCTCCTTTTCTGCATTCCCCACTTCCCACGCTAGCGAAGACACCTAGTTATCGAAAAAGGATATTGTCTTCGATGCTAGCAAGAAAAAGCAAAATTCTGCTTATGACCTCGTCAATTGTGTTCTGCTGCCAAATGCTTTTTTTGTTATGCGGATTTTGCCCATGTTGCCTTTTTAATGAGTCAGCATAACCGAAACGCATATACGCAGATTGGAAATATTACGAGTCTTTGTAGTCCTATGATCGAATCTCATCATATCGTGGTAATTATGGTTTGCAGAACGATTTGCAGAATGGTATATGGTTCAAATATGCCTATAAAAGTGAGCGCACATTGCCCATCAGATCGTGAAACTGCCGTATGGTATCTCCACTGATTGTTCTTGCACTGATCAGTAATCTACAGGTGGATCTAACTTATCAAATTTAGCTTGAAGAAAGAAGTTTCTTAGGCATGCACTCCCTCTCCGACGCTTCTACCAAATATGCCTGCAGCTTACCGAGCAACAACTACTACCATGGTATATCGACACGCACCAGCGAGATCAAGAATTCTAGTGAAGCGTGAACCTGAAAAGGTGATAGTGACCGTAGTCAGCAATCAGAAGTATGATCCTTCAAGGAACACGGCACATCTGCAAGTCTTCAGGAATTTGGCAAGCACTTAAACTATGTTTAGATTCCACTTTCTTTTGCTTGTAAAGACCTACAAAAACTGCTAGAACAATAAAAATATGCTTTCTAGGTAGATGCCTCCACGAAATATATGAACATTGTCTACGATAAGAACAGGGTGAAAGACCAGATAATCAACAGTGATGGAAAGTTTGGGGTACGATACACCTTGAACGGATTCGATTGTGGAAGGGTGAGTAGAAATTTCTCGCAATTTACGATATTTCAGAATGCTCCAAACCTTCTCAGTAAAGTATTAGGTTGGCTAAGAAAATAAGTTCTGTAGTTTTTAACGGTTTGTGAAAATTTTACAAATAAATTCTGGTAAGAATGTATAGTAGACTTGAACAGATCAAACCAAGAGAATTGAGTGATTAACTCTGTTCATGCGCCAATCATTTTGACAACGAAATTGTGCAGAAAAGTAGAATAATCAGTTTTTAATCGAATTTTCGAAAAGTCATGCTCCAAAAACGAACTGTGTTTGGTTGTAAGATGCACAGCCGGCATCCACATAACAAAGTTTGAAATTTCCAACCATTTGCACGGCCATAGATGGACAAATTCAAACGGTCAGGATTGCCAACTGACATCCACTCGCAAATGCATGGAATTTCACATTTTTCGCTACTGAAATACACGAACAGTAGATCACATTCTCCATTGTAGACGAAAGGTTGTATACATCAGTTTACCAAATGGTTATGGCACTCATTATAAGCTGAGAACCAAATTTGTAGAGTCGAAGTGAAGAATTTGGGAAGGCTAGCCATATAAGGGGTTCATTGTTAATTGCTGGTGACGGAAAATATTTAATATCTGATATGGATAGTAGAGGCTTGAAAGCTACCTCATAACAAAACAAACAAAAAAATCTCCACTAAATAACTGTTACTCGAATGGTTATAGAATCTCGAGATCACATTCATACCAAACTTATTCATTTGCCAACCTAATATTAATGACCATACCCTCGATACATAGAGCCACGTACTCTGGCAACCTTCACTTTGAGGGCTATGGGGGACACAATCCTCACCTGGAAAAAAGCGGAAGTCATCCGGGGCTTCGCCCCGGATGTTATTATTCTGACTATATCGGAACGAATGTTAATGATCAAATATAGGGAGTAATATCTTTAGCTTATCTCGGCGAAACCGAGAATTCACGTTTTCATAGCCTTTTTTACCTTAAAAAAAAGGTTTCTGTGAAATCTTCGCCAGAATTCAAGACAAAATTTCTTAATTATGCTCTCATTTAAATAAAAACGAGTTTCAGAAGTTTAGGAAAGCTATTGGAGTTAAATTAAAACAAAACTGCGTTTAAATCTGCGCAGAGAGTCGCGCACGAAAACGCTGGTCTATCTCGTTAATGAGTGATTTTCAATGCTTGGGACGTTGTCAGTTCTCCTCGTCGTGTCATGGCGATCAGAACGATATATAATGTTGCAGGTTTCGTTGAGACCTCGCAGAAATTTACTACCAGAGCCAAATGCCCCGTCGGCTCTGGTCTGTCTCCGCTGCTCGTCTGCGTCTCCGCACGCTGCGCGCTACCTCGCTACCCCAAACGCTTGGCGCGGGGCATTTGGCTCTGGTACCCTTTTCTTCGCTGTTTCGAACCCAATTTCGGCAAGCTATATATCATTTTAAAGCTCTTGATCTCTATTTTCACGCTGACAACGTCCCAGAACCTCATTTTATGATTTGGTTGAGAAATGCGGCAAAAACCGTGTTTTCGAAAATCTGGGCCGGTAGTAATCCCCCCGACCTGGCGGCAGGTCTCGTCGGCAGGTTGCTGGCATCTTTCCGCGAGGTGGCCAGAAACTAAGAACCGAAATTTAGGCCGTCCCAGGCCTTTTTTCAAAAAATTTTCTCGATAAAGTTGCCGCCTCGACTCTGTAGAGAACTTCATAAAAATCTGCGGCTCCAGAAATCCTCCTTTAGTAAAATATCTGGAATTCCAGGAGGAGCTGCCGGCAACTTCGCGATGTCAGTTGCCGGCAACCTGCCGGCAGGTTGCCGGAATCCGCGAGATGGCAGCTGCCGGCAGGTCAGAGAGCACGGGAAATAGCGTGCTCTTTTGAGAGAGCGAGCTGCCGGCATCTCGACGTGCCCCTACCACGTCGAGGTGGTGGCACCTTTGCCGACGGCGTCTGCGAGTTTGCGAATTGCGGCGATATCACACAATTTACGTCAGGCGAAAAAATCAGAAATTCTACTTTTCATGAAAAAACTATCATTTTTCTCATTATATGGGTTTTTCTTTTTTAAAATGACGATTTTCTTACAGAGAAAAAATCCACTAATGCCTTAGAATCATATAGAACACGAACTGTTTTGGCAATCCCCTATAAATCTCGTTTGCACCGATTTCGCCCCCTATCTCGCTCATATCAATCAGCTGTTCTTTCAGGTCAAAGTCTCTCACGCAATGTATCGATCCCTCCTACAGGCGGCCATTTACCAGCGCGTTCCTCCTATTGCTGGTGCAAACGGCAATGGCTGACCGAATGGTCGAATGGTTAACGTGGTGGCACTTCAAGTTAACGCACATAGGTTCGACCGCGCGCGAGGTAGCAGTTTTGCGGCTGTCTGCGTCATCAAATTTAGTGTGCGAAATGATTGCGTGCTAAGGTTAGATAAGATTATCAAAACCTACAATCACTCCGCGAGCTGCCGGCGGAGTTGGCATCTTTCCGCGATGTGTGCCAACTTGCCGGCATCTTTGATGCCACCAGGTAGGGTAGATTACTACCGGCCCTGTTGTTTTTCCTTTAGTTTAACTATTTTCACGCGATTTTTTCGTGCACTCTGTAGATCTTGCTTCTGTTCATAATGCAGACAATCACCCAGCCCTTCCTCTTCGATTATGGTGGATTTTTTGCGAAAAATCGTAAAAAGTCCGTTTTTTTTACCTTGTCCCGTTTCAGTGCTTTCGCATCGATTTTTTTTCAGCTTGGGCGATTATTGCTCAGAACAATAAGCGCAACAATCCAGACAACGTCCCAGGAAACAAGAACGTCAATGCGGGGGTAAAAATTCAAAGGACGCATCAAAAATCAAAACCCCGTGTTGCGAATTGCTGGTCCTGCAGTGAAAACTTGCACTTTGAAAAGCCGCCAAATGAAAGATCTCAAACCTCATTGCAGCGTTCTTATCCGGTTTTCAGCAGTTTCTTTTGCTTTTATATCAGTTTTACGTCATTTTCTCTTCTCTGATCTTCTTTAAACAACCTTCACTATTTATGACGTCAGATGTTCAAACAACCTTCACTTTTGATGCTCTGTCTCTAAACTATCGAAGGTATGTTAATGACTATCACTTTCTGGAACAAATTTTTCCTGTCAAAAAGAAGTAAAAAAATCCATTTTTTGGAAGAAGCTGCTTCAACTTTATTTTATTGGCTCATCACTGTTTCATCGAACAAAATTAAATTGTTGAGTAGCAAATACCAAAAATCTCATGCTTTCTCCCAAGTTTTTTTTTTCACCAACATAATTAAAAAATTATTTAGTAACAACTATAATACCAACAATCTCATGCCCGTCGTAAATTTTGGTTCAAACACTATTTTTTCATCATCATTACCGTAGTTCTGCAAAAATTCTCTGCGGGGGCTCTATTTTGATCTCCTACTGCCTAGACCTCATACTTTAACAGCTTCATTATCTCCATTCTCCTGAATAAAATGAAAAACATTTTATAGGTGACAAAATTCTTGGAAGATACTGTGAACAGTGCCATTTTCATCACATCCGTCAAGATCAAATGCGGGAACAGACCAGAGACCGTGCTGAAGTGAATCTATAACCTTTGGTCGATGCGAGTAATAAATGTGTAATAAATTTTTACCACATCATCATCGACAACATCAAAAGCACATACAGAGTCCAGTAGAACGCAACGCATGAATCATTTTCAAACCACAACACTGCACTTTGAGGGCGCAATATTTAGGCTCCAGGCTAAAAAACGATGAAAAAGGGGCCTTCTCAAAGGAATTATCCACAGGTACAGACGTCATCATGTACGGAACGGGAGAGTAAACAGCTTAGGTGATGCTAGTAAACAACTTGTAATTACATTCTCCCTTACGAAATGGATCGAACGGTGCTTCAACGAGCCTATGGTTTTTTTATATCTTGTATAGTTACAACTTCTATTCTTGTTTAATATAAGCGTTTGTTTGGAATGAATTGATGTTTTTGTCAAAGTTCTCTATGGCAACAAGGCTAGTTCGCTATTGACATCGCGACAGGCTTGATTGCAAAAAGTTGAGAAAAATGAGGCCTTACGAGCATTGCAGTATAGCCAAGTGCATAGCTATGTAGACTTGTACATTTTTGGCATTTTTCCAGTGTTTGCGATTTAATTAGCGTGGAAAGGTACGAGTTGAAGCAGCAAACGTAAATCAACGCTAAGTGCTGTGTTCAACCCGGCGTTTCCAATATCTGCATAAGCCTATTATGTAGCGATGTTCATTATGGGGGCCCGCACACGAGGCCTCTCAGCAACCCGCTGACCGCCCCGTTGCACCTATTGAACCTACCTACCTGGAAAATCGAATATGCTGTCATACTTCGCGATAAATGCACTATTAATCTCATTAACTGTCATTTTACGCCCTTCTTCTCCGATCATGTTTTCTTTTTCTTTCTAGCTTCTATGTTAGACTTAGAAGTTCGTGGTTTTGATCCGAAGCTGTTCCTCCAAGATCCAATATTATATAATATTGTATACTATCATAGTAAGTTAAAATATATTATATTCATCAATAATAAATGGCATTTTATTATAATAATTTTGTATGTCATATAATGGAATGGAATTATTTAAAATCAGTGTCTTCTTAATATTTAGAAGAGCTGCGATTACTACGGAGTGATTGTTTGGATCATTGGAAACGTATTTATAGTTCAACTTTTGCATAATTGCTCACAAATGCAAAGTATTTTATTTTTTATCTATTGTAATTTTTGATCTACACTAGCTTTAATATCGTGGAAAATACTCAAAGATCTCAAGCTTTGTTTCGGCTATGATAACGTTTGATAATAACTACTTGTAAAAGTATCATATTACTTTATCTAGAATTCATAACTTGGGTATTTCATGAGGTTTTTCGTTTGCCTGTTCGGTTTTTTACACTCCCACATTCTCATTTTCTAATAATCTCTCTTTGCTTTCCAAAAATAGCAACACTATTCTTTAATGAAAAACCAATCCTCATGACAATGTGATCTTCAATTTTTTACAACTTTCTTTTCACTTCCCCGGAATCATTGTAGTCATTTCAAACTACACTCAACCTTTGCGACGTCTTCCTTATCTTACCTAATATTTCCATTCTTTTTTCGGTTTTTTGTTAGGCACCAAAAAATGTCAAATGGGAATAAGAACTTCATGAAAATCATATTGATTAATTGACTATGTGATGTTTTTTGACCAAAATATGTGTTCTACACATACTGGAATATGCAGGATACAAAATAAATGCTGAGTGTATTATAATCTTTTTTGACAGAGTATTATTCAAGCCTTATTTTCTCTACATAATTGTAGCAGATATGCCTTCTACGAACGAATTACTATATGTCTCAATATTTTTCCATTAGAAATTCAGGACATTTTTCTTTGCTCGGACTACAACAAATATGATAATTAAGATATTGGAAAGTATGAGAATTCATAATGAAATCTGGACCATTAATAGCTATCGGGACCGAATGTCATCACTTAATCTCCTTGGTTCAATGCACAGAAAGTCTTTAAAGCTGCTCGAAAAGTTAAATTAGATGTTTTCATAGCAAACTGTAGGAATTACCGTTTTGCACTCGTATATTGTTAACTCTCTACGAAAGGAAAGCGCTTTTCTCAGTATATTATATGTATGATAACCGCTATCCTGCCAACATTTCAAACAGCTAGAACAATTATACAAAATATGTGGAACCATATGTAACCACTATACCTCACGAGAAAACGTCCCATAAAACTCAAAATCCGTTTATCCCCTATGCTTTTAACCAAAGCTCGGCACAGGTGGCTTGCAAGCAAGCTGGATATCGTTTTTGGGACAAAATGCAAAGGGGGTTTCGTTTTTGAGGCCGAAAAGACACAATTTTTCTAGCCGACGTTATTTTTTGAAGATTTTTTTACGTTTAGGGTTTAGGGTTGAAGAGAACTTCGTAAAAACTAAAGTCAAGAGGGACATTGTTTTTTGCATATTCGGAAAGCCACCTCGTGCCGAGCCCTGCTTCAACATGTAGTAGGAAAAGTAGGGTTAATAGTACGAAATTTAGCAACTAAGGCAAATCCTTAGAATGCGTAGCGTTTCATGGCTCAAAATCCCTGGCGCCAATTTTTTCGGCGTGACCGACCGTACGGCGGCGGTGCCGTTCCGCTGGCATTATCCGCGCAAATCTACACGCTTTGACCTGCTTTGAAACAGGTCTCCTGCCACTGATGAGGCCAATTTTCATGCTGTCATAGCGCTGAATCATCCTTTTTTTAACTGCTGCTGAGAATTCTGCATTAAAAAATCTGAGATCTAGGATTATATAGAGAATGCTTTCCCGTAAATGGCGAGCGGGAAGTTTTGTCGACATGGTCCCTAAGCGCGAGCGTCTTTGTCATTCCATTCATGCCGAATCTTCGCCAATAACTTTGGATCGTCACGAGCAGCTTTCTACACGAAGAATCAACTTTGACTTGATCACTTTTGATCAGTCCTTCTCCTTTTTTCTTACAATTAGATCCCTCTCCTGTAAATTCCTGTTTTCAAATCTTGATTCAGCGCAGAATTTTTTGGATTCTGGTTACGAAAGCTTACGATAATCCTATTGTAAAAGCAGTAGCCATGCATACTATATTGTTGTTTATACTAGCCCGTATTACATTGTCACATTACATTACGCTAATCGGTCTATATATGTGCTATATATGTATGTGTATCTATATGAATGTGTGTGCGACAGAATAGAGTTGTTAAGAGTGAATAATAAACACACTACAATAGCTTTGAAGAGAGCCTCATCTGCTGCTGGTATATCATGAGGCTTCGGACTTACCAATACCGTTAGATTAAAGCTTGCATGAAAATTGTGAGCTCGGAATTTAGGGGGAAAGGGCAAGCTATAAGCAAATCAGACTCCCAACTGAATATTCTTGGACTAACACTATATGCAGTTCCGTCAACCTGATTTCTGTATACACCCAGAAATCAATTTATCAATGTTTGAACCACCTTTGCTGAGCCTTTAGATACAGAAATCTCTTGTAGTTTTTATCGTCATAAATTTTCCAGTGCAGCTGTTTGGCTTTATCGCTGACAAATGTTTGTGGTTGGTGCATGTGAACCAATAATTTTTAAGAAAAGAATGTCCTTCCCTTGTTCCCCTTCCTCTTTCCCTACCATGTGTTTGTTCCTTCGCTGATATAACGATAACTTTCCAGAGGCTGATTTGGCCTTACGTATTGGTGTTTAGAGCTGATATATAAGGGTTTAAGCTACGGCTTACATTTACAAAGTACCTAATGGCCGCTAATGGCCGTTTCATGCTTTTAGATACTACTTAAAAGAGTAAAACTGTAGACTTTATGAAGGAAATCGTAAAACAAAGGCCTGTTTTCGTTCCTGGTTAGACTGAAATCCTTCCATCTGCTCCATCAAGGGATGCAGATAAGGAAAAAATTGATCATTTCTTTTTCTAATAAGTTATTTTTTTCCCAACCTTCTTTTTTTCCGTGGCAATTCTTGAGCCGGATACATTTTAAGCCAACATATACATGTTACTTAGTACTCGAGATAATCAAATTGATCCTTCCATCCTTACTTACAAGTTTTGTGAAAAGACTGCAGCTCCTCGTGGTCTGTTTTGGGGGAAAAGAAACAGAGCTGTGTGATTTGTTCTTCATGGGCTCAATTTTTATTATTGAAAATTTCATCAGACCGACTCAAAGCTTTGACTGAGATGTGTCTTTGCCCGACAACATCTTCTTCGAGAAAATAACCTTACTGTCATTGAGCCGATTCCATTTAGTTACGCCATATGATATGAATGCATGTTGGCAGCCGTTTTCGGACCCGGTCATTAGATCGGAGATGTTCACCTTAGTGACACGCACATCCTTGACGATGACGTTTTTAGAGTCACAATTGTCTTTGAGCGGATAAATCTCGTGTAGGGCACTTTCTTATGTTCTCAGATTCTTTCTCCAGCCAAACGAGTCGATTATCTCAAGAATCTAAGCAAAATTTCTCCACAACGCCAACTCTTTGATAGTTTTTGTGCTCTATTCGATTCCATAGCGTCCTCGTTCGTTTTGATGCATCGGCGACCCATGAAGTTTTTGCCATGGCGAATTCGCCACGATGCATTGAAATTATTAGCGATTCGGTGCAATTTTCCTTTCCGCTCGGACGTTGACCGGTCCACGCGAGGCTACGCGTAGACCTCGATACGCACTCGCACACCATACATCCAGCCAGCCGTCATTAAGTGCAACCTGTAAGCCCCCCCCCATGGACTAGGTGCGGATAGCCAACGTGGCGATCTCACGCCTATGTAAAGTCCATACTGGAATTCTAATTTATTGATTACATTACTTTTGTTGGACATTTTATACACGCATAATTTTTTCTTCATATCTCTGAGTAAACCTAATATGCTTTATATTTTACATTATGTGGCCTGCTCGTTGACTTAAGATTGGAAAATTTATTTGCTGAGATGGAAAATGGTAATTATGTCACTCTTATGCGTATCCCCGTTCACAACAAAGCTCAAAATTATGCTTGTT